TTCTAGGCAAATTTTACGTCCAGTAGTTTGTCATTGCCCTGACGGTCAGCTCTCGGTGCCACTTTCGAAACCAACACAAGACAAAACGTTCGCAGCTGGGATCAAACTCGGCACGCCGGCATTATGAAGCGCGTTCGCTACGCATAAGCCACAGACGCTGATAAAGCGGTCTGCTGCCACATCATCTGCAGCTAGAATAGAGCCGTGTTTTTTTTTTTGAATTACGAAAGGACACTCACAAAGCCTAAGCCACGGAACAATAGTGTGATAATGAATCTTTTTTGTTAGCATTGTTTTTGTAATCTGTGGCGACCCACATATTTGAGGATCACTGGCTGAAAGAGAAAACACACACAAATAATAATGTAGTACTTGGCAATTTGGAATGCACGAGGGGAATGGGGTGTTAATTTGTCGCTCGACAGGTGACAGACGCAACAAAAGAAAGGGATATAACGCATGATGGGCAACATGGCAATATGTCCACCACAGGGTGTTGGAAACTGAAAGCTGTTGTGACACTTCTACATGGCAGCACAGGAGAGGGTAACTGGGAGATATAGACTACTGTAGAGGTGGTATTCAGTGTCAGGTCTTCACACGTAATCACCGTCGTCTTGTTGTGCTATTTGTGGTCACCTAGAGCTTGCATTCTATGCCTTCATTCTGTTCTATCGCGTGCGATCCTTTCGATATCTTGGATGGAATTTAGTTCAGGACCTCTGGCCTCTCTCATCAACGTTCAAATAAGGGTTTCTTTTGCATTCCCCCGCATCCTCAGAACTTGTATTTCCAACTTCACTGCCTGGTAAGGGAGCTAGCCCTACGCCCAACAGGCAAACACCGATTACTAGGCGTGCATGGAGCAGCTGTAATATAATCACCGCTTATATTTGTAATCGCCGAAGATTTGTTTTACTATTTATTATTACTATTCACTATTTACTACAAATATGCTACTCGGTTAACGTCTCAAACGCAACAAAAAGAACGATAGCAGCATGCTTATGCCTCTCTTGCAGAAATTGTAATGTGGGAAAATACCAGTTACTAGTACTACAATGCTGGATGCGCACGCATCTTCTCAACAGAAGAGACAAATTTCACCTGATGGCCTCTAAAGCGTAATTGTTACCTGCTAACACATACACATTCGAACTGATCACGTTTCACCACTGGTGCGAACATACACACATATATTTTATAAAAAAAACACTAAATACGATCAGTAGATCAGACAGTCAGCATGTCCTTTACAGAACGTCGCTCTCTTCGCGCCATGCTTGAAAGCTTCTTTCTCTAGCCACTTACCCAGGCCCTATGTGCTTTTATAGCCAATGCATCTTCAATGTCTCGTATCCACCTTCATGACGGGCGGCCTAGGCCTCATTTTGCGGAAACTGCACCTTCAATCGCCATTCTTTCCAGACCACTATGGCGCTTGACATGTCCAATACACCTCAACTTTCGGGAGAGGACGCTGTTAATGAGCCAGTTCTCCTTGATGTTCAGATCATGCTGGATGTCGATACTTGTCTATTTCCTAGGTCCATGGTATTCTAAAAACATGTCTATACATATTTTCTGTACATATTTTTCTTAATACATCACAACTAAATATACGGGATAGGCGGTGACCACGGACGGGGACTACCGTTATGGAAAAGGGGCTTCGGCCTTGATTAAGTTAGCTATAATACTTATTAATTTTTAGAGGCCTCAGAGATGTGGTTTTATAGAAGAATGCTTAGAATACCTTGGACAGCCAAAAAGAGAAACCAAGAGATTTTGAAAGAGGCGGGAGCCCGAAGACAACTTATCACAGACATCAGAAAGAGACAGTCATCATTTTTCGGCCATGTTATGAGAAGAGGGAAAATAGAACATGGTGTGACCACTGGAAAGATCTGTGGAAAAAGGGATAGAGGAAGACAACGAGAGAAGATGCTTGACAGTCTTGTTGCATGGCATGGAGGTGTGTCGGCACCCGAACTGATACATGCTGCAGGAGATCGCAGATTATGGAGAGGCATGATCGCCCACGCCAGTCGGCAAGGCACCTGATGATGATGATGATGATGATAATACTTATTATATGCTGTTTGGCAAATAAATAGCTAAAATCAACGAGGGTAATCGACGATTACACGAAGGGCATAATACATTCCCTATTTGAATGAAAAAATGTAAGTACGATGTTCGAAATATTAATAGGATAATTTATATTTTAATCAAAACCCGAAAAGGTGTGAACAAGATAATATTTTAAACAATAATACAAGTTACATAAACGTCTTTTAAAAAAAAATCTACACACGATGTACAAAACAACCAAAAATACACTATGTGAACCAAATTAACACTTTTTATCCCAAATATATTCCTGAGTGTTGAGCAGGATATTTTCAAAATTACCACTACTTAAGAACAGTTTCACAGACATATACTAATCGACGTAATAGCCCACGCGTTTGTGTACTGCTCTGTGGTCGATGAGTAAAAACCACGGCCAGGCTGCAGGAGGTCGTGTTGAAAAACTAAGTAAATTTCCTGCCAGGTTACCGGTTGTCAATGTCAACAGCTATCACCTAGCAACGTTTAGAAAACGACAGCCAGACAGACAGACATAATCTTGCCCGCCGGATCTACCTGCAGATAATTAGAACAGATAAGTTCCCGCCAACACAACAAACAGCCGAGAGTAGAACACGCGCAATGTCAGCCGCGTGTGCTCAACCATGACCGACTGCAGACATAGCTCAACCGTCACACGGAGGTGGGGGCTGACACAAAGAAAACATTGAGAGAGGGGAGGAGGGAGCTGACACAAAGAAAACACTAGGAGAGAGGGGAGACGTGGGCCACTGCCACCTGACACATATTCTAGACGACACTCTACACGGCATAAACCCTGTTTGAGTGCTTAAAAATAGTGCAAGTAATAATAATCAGGGCTGAACTTCTTTTTTTTTTAAAAAGCTACCAGCACTGAAAGATAAAATCCAGCAGAATAATCGATGACTTGCACACGAAGGAAACAAAATAACCACTATGTTAATGACACAATGTCAGTAAGATTGCCTCATTATTTATAATACAATTTATATCAACCCAAATTAAAGCAAAAAGTGAAACAGTACAAATTACTTTTTGGTCAGATAAATAATTACATGATGACCAAATATAAAATAACAAATATATACTCTGAGAATTCAGCTAACACTTGTTATCCCAATTACAATCTGGAGGGTGTCGGCTCTGTGGCTTAGTCGATGCGAACGCTTCGTAATGCCGGGATGCCTGGTTCGATCCCAGCTGCGGGCCATGCGCCTTGCGTTGGTTTCGACAGTGGTATCGAGAAAGCCGACCGTCCAGAAGCCATGGCAAACTACTAGACATAAATTTGCCTAGACAAACTACACAACAGCCAGGGGTTGTTGAGGCTTGTTCTGCAACGTCATGTAAAGGATACGCAACTAACCTAACCTAATCTGGAGGGTTCCACGAGATATTTATGAACAATTACTACTATTACTATCAGCACTCAAGTGTCTAAAATAAAGGGTTCCATTACTCCCCCCATAAAGCGTTTATTACAACAGTGCTAAAGAAATCATGCCATAAATAAAAGGGTGCCGGTACTGTGTAGCGTTTAGAACCGCCAGAAAAAATATTAATAAGAATAATGGGCTGAATCATCATTATCAGGTGCCTTGCCGACTGGCGTGGGCGATTATGCCTCTCTACAATCCGCGATCTCCTGCAGCATGTATCAGTTTGTGTGCTGACACACCTCCCTGCCATGCAACAAGACAGTCAAGAATCTTCTCTGGTTGTCTTCCTCCATCCCTCCTTCCATAAATCTTTCCAGTGGTCACAACATGTTCCGATTTCCCTCTTCTCCTAACATGGCCAAATGTGCTGAATAGCAAACGAACAAAACAATTTACCTAAAACAATACCATAGATACATTGTTTTCAACTGAGCAGGAGACGTGTATAGATTGTTGTGGGTTTAGCGGTTCTCCCACCCACTTAAACAACCTTAGGTACTTTTCTGAATACCGGATAAAAACGCGAAGCATATTCCATATTTTAACTATATGATCTCTTGTGGCACTGAATGGGATTTTTCTTTATAGTGAATAATTTGAGACCGGTTTTCGGAAGAGTGCCCAATATGTTTTATTTGTATATAGAATAAACAGACAATGTATTGACCGGCACTCATAAACAGAACTAGAAAGATAAAATGGCAAACCTGACAACATAACAATCTAAAGCTTTAGTTACAGTGCCCGGAATCGAACCTGTCACCTCCATATGGCATGAGCGCCTGGACATGGAAACGTGCACTAAGAACATGACCAGCAAAACGCACCCCTTTTTTTTCACTGGCCATGTCTATCGTACAGCTTGAAATCCACAATTATGGAATGAGGACATAATTAATCTCAAACCATTGAAACGGCACCATAGGTTACAGAAATTTATATTAACCAAGCATATGTCTAATAATAAACGCAGCAACAATTTACTAACACAGAAGACCGTAATGCTTTGTCTAAAACACAATAAATATTTCGTTTTTTTTAAATTCTGTGTTCACCGGCTGTAAATTCCAGAGGAAAGTCCTGGTTGTTTGTCCATTTAGACTTTGGCTTTGTGCCAGGGCCTAAGGTGTGCGTGTATATCCGTTTTACTGTCTTTTGGGATGCAGCTGGTTGTTCCTTTCCGCTCGGGCACATGCACTCCGATTTCGTAGAAAGCCCCCAATTATTCGACTCCTACACGTACTTCACATAAATATTGTATATATATATATTTTTTTTTCTAGGCTTATATAAACAACCTTACAGTTTCTGTGAAGTGGGTGGCGGGTGGTAGGGCACTTAGTCTGCCTAGCCCCAGGTGCCGGCGAGCCTGTCCGTTACTACGTAACGAACACACACATATCAACAAACAACACCGGGTAGCCGACACACACAAACATAGCTTACCTGTCATCATAAGCGAAATCTGCAGGTAAGGTGTTGAGATAAAGAAGAAACGCCAACACTGCGGTCACCACTGGCGCATAATCCATCTTCCTCGGGGAATCCACTCAAAGACGTACACGACCGCCCAGCCAGGGCCATGTTCTGTCAATGAGCGATTCAGGCGGCCCGGGGATGTTGTTGGGTATCGCAGTTTACCTGGAAGTTGGGAAAAAAAAATTATTGTGCACTCGACGTCGATCGCGCGCAGCCAGCCATGCTGGGACCAGGCAACGCCCGCCACGTGAGGCCGGTCTATCCCGAACTGTTGTCGCCTCAGTTTTGCTTCAAATGTTCAATGGTACAAGGCTCCCCCGCCCCCTACCTTTCCTTTTAAATCTCCAAAGCGGAAGATGCACACACGAACTTGCTAATCCAATATTGCCTTCATCGCCAACTCTAGATTTATAGCTAAAGATGGCCGTGATTGCCTCTAAGAAATTTTTTTAATGGGGGGGGGGGGGGGGGGGGGTGTCATCCCAAACGAGAAGTAAAACTAATCAGCTTCACACCATCCATAGCCACGAAAACAAAATGACTGTTGCGACTTGAAAGCCTTCATCAGCATTGGATACAAACGAACAATATCAAAACACAAACAAAAATAGTTGAGACAGACAAGCACTAACAAGCACTAGTAGTACTGGAAGGGCGAGATATATAAGAGTTAGAATTAGTAAATTTAAAAAAAAAAAGATAATATAAAAATAAAAACAAATACATCATAATGACAAAAGTTAGTTGCGCATTCTTTATAAAGGAAGTTGCAGAACCAACAAGGCCATTTGTTGCTTGTGATTTAATTAGGAAATTTTGCATTCAGTGGTTCACCGTTAAAAACACGATAACAAAAATTTTAACGCGCAAAGGTATTGTGACAAGTCTTTCATCCCTGATTCCTAGCGGGATACGCTCTGCTGTAACAAAACGTGTATGTATGTAAAGTGCAAGGATGACACGGACATTTCTCACCAAGGGTGGGGTGAGGGTGGCGGTCTTTGTGGTCAATTTGGTTTCATGGCATCCCCGTGTGGGCCCCACTGCCTCATTCTGGGGGTTGAAAGCAGTGTTGCCATTTTGGATCTTTTATATCCAAATTTAGATCTTTTTCATTGCATTTAGATACTGTTTTTGACGTCTAGGTCGTAAATATTTTTCTAGATTCTTTTCATATGGAGTTAGATATTTTATAGATTTTTCTTTCTTTCATTGTCAATTTAATAATTACTGTGTAAAATAAATATCTGGCAGCCCCGGTACTGATTAATAAAAAAGCGCCTAAATCATACTAACTTTGTTTCAACCGTATCCTCACTGTGCTGACTTTGCGTTTCTTTTTCATGTGATTTAAAAAAAAAAATAATTGCTCAATTTCTTATGTGGCTTTCACTTTGAAAAACCTTTCAACGTGCCAAAAGTAAAGTATGAGCAAATAATTTGGAAAGAGTGGTTGCATGATGACAAAATTAAAAACTGGGTATATAACCAAAGCTTGTTGTAAGTACTGCAAGTGTGAAATTAAAGCGACAATACAAAACTCAAAGAGTCATGCAGAGACTAAAAAAGGCATAAAACTGCAGTTTCATTTAAAGATATTACACCGCTGACATCTGTTTTCAGAACTATACTGATAAATGAATCATCAAAAGTTGAAGTATCAGTCGGAATGTTTTAAATTTGTCACTGCGCAATTTCAAACTGTGACCATTTGATCGATTTGTAAAAAATCTTGGATTAGTTTAATTTGAAAAGTGTGATGTAGAAATTATATTTTAGGAACTGAAGGACCTTTTAATCAGCAAACAGTTAGGCTTGAAGAATTTGGCTGTAATTGGTACTGATAATGCCTCAGTGATGGTTGGTATAAACAATGACGTTTATGCCAAGTTGAAGGAAGCTAACCCATTGTTAATACTTATAAAATGTATGCGTCATTCATTGCAGCTAGCATTATCACATGCTTCATCTAAATATTTACCTAGGAATTTGGAATACCTTTTTGCTGAAACACTTTACTGGTTTTCCAAATCATTTGTCTCTTAAATGCATTCGTGCCGTTACAATTCGGCCTAATGAGACTAGAGAAATAAGCCTACTGTTCCACTTATAAAGAAATTTGAACAGCTAAAGCATACCAGGGTCATTTTGGATCTGAAGCTTCAACTTCATTATTCAAGCTAAGTTTATCCTGTTGATCTTGTGAGGTAGACATCAGTGAAGGTGAGGACATGATTATGTAGGGTAAGTCATAACAAAAGCTATGTAATTTTTGACTTTTTCAATTTGGATATTTTTTCTAGATCTTTTCCACGCAGATTTAGATCTTTTTAGATATTTTTTGACACCGTTTTGGATATTTTTTGTCAAAGAAAAGTGGCAACACTGGTTGAAAGAACAAACTCACTACCTCCCGAACAAGCATGTCCGTGCCATGCTATGATAAAGAGAGTCGGTAGCAACAGGCGGCACCACAAGGGGCGGGGGCCGAAAGCAGCGAAATCAAAATACAATTTGAATTTTGATCTGACAGCGTGAAGCTAATAGGCGCGGTATTTCGAAGACTTGCATAGTACTAAGAAAATCTACCGCACGGTGGATTTAGGGCGGTTATTTAGGGGTGTTTCTCTGTCTTTGAGGACAGGGAGATTAAGACAGAAAGCTGGCACACAAACCAGAACTTTAGCCACGGAAGTGGTGCAAATAAATTCGACCACAATTATAAAAGGATACTGTTGGTGGCTTCGGCTGCTAACAGCAGATGGAACGTGGTTGAGTTTTTAGTTGTTTTCCTAAAACGGAAGGGAAAGATGTTTCCTTTGAATCCAGAGTGCATGCGCCAGAGTAGCAATAAAGACACAAAATAGTCGTCTGCAAACAAACAAGACGATTTGTGGATATATCAAAAGAAAATATCCATTTTCCACGCCTTTAGGCGTATTGGGAATATAGGGCTACACCCCTGATTTTATAGATCAATCGGCAGTTGGTGGGTGATGTGGTCGAACAACTGCCGGAGTTTACATCCGCTGAAGGCCGACCACCATAAATACCGGTTTAACAGCGGTGAAGATGATGTTAGAAAGAGGAAGAGAGAGAAGGCTACAAATAGACACAGTCTCCAACAGTAACTTGCTGGACAGGATGACAAGTCACCGAACGTGATAAGCAGACCGGTTTCGCGAGTCTGGCATGTAAACCCCTCCCCCCTGATAAAGAAAACGGAAGTAACAGCTGCATGACTATTCGGTGATTCTCAAAGGCTGCAATATAACCCGAACGTCAAATAGAATGAATGTTGAATTAAGAATCTACAGCACAGCACTTGAGACACTCCCATAAGCGCTCTGTCCCCATCTTCAGCGGCAAGCGAAGAGTTCCAATTCCGGTGGCACAAGTAACTGATTATATAACGGTCTCGCCTTTCCCTTGATTGTTGAACGTCAGCCAAATTCCCCTGGTAACTAACCGCAGATCAATTCCTCTCCGATCGTAATTATCTAGTTGTGCCTCCGCACTGGTTTTTTTAAAGCCACATCCTGGCTTTAATTGAGGGCCCTAATAAAACGTAACGGTTGAAATGGTTTGTGGGACTAGTGCCGGGTGATCCTCATCCGAATGTTGGCACTGTGTCACAGGGTGTTTGTCGCTCGTTGTGCGGTCCTGGTGGGATGGGGAGGGGGGGGGGGGTGGTTGTTGACGTCACCCAACAACACAAAGAGATTCCTCAACTCATTTGAAAATGATTTCGCTCAGATTTGGCTTTGCTACTCGAAAATTTTAATCGGTAACAACATTTTTGGAATTGCTACAGTCCAGCGCGAGAACCATCTGGGACTCGCTAATCTAAAATCTCAACTGCAATGCAGATAACCTGCAAAGAAGAGGTGGCACTTTACAGACATAAGTATTTGGTTGACAATGACAAGACAATCTGAAAGGAAATCGTAAAGTATTCGACAAGATTTGATTTGATTCAAGAACCGACATCACAGCACTCGGGGAATTCCCATAAGCGCTCCGTCCCCATCTTTAGCGAAGAGTTCCGATACTAATGGTGCCAGTAACATTATGATTAAACGTCCGTCTTGCCTTTCCTCTGAGCCTCGAGCATCTGCCAGAACCTCTCGTCACTACCCCCTGCATCATTCTCACCAGAATGTGGTGATTCATCTGCTCCTCCGAACTGCACACGCTCTCCCACAAGGCACCAATCACGTCTGCCTTATCATGTATCAGTATTCCACCAAGCTGTACCGAGCCAGCCAGTCTGTCCGCCTGCTGAGACGACTTTTGGGTACTTAATTTATAACTTACCCCTGACGTCACGACAACGTCACGGGAGACATCCCCAATAAATTCTAGGGTGTTCAGGTTGTAGTTTCTCGCGATTTATCTACAGCCAAGTTTAGGGTTAGGGTTAGCATTAGAAGACACTAGATGAAAACTCAAAAAAAAAAAAACACACACAACAGCACACTTCCACCCCTTGAAATAATGGACTGTCAGGTCAGTTGTGGATTTCCCACGGGGATTTCGTGTTTGGGGTACGTTATAAATTAAGAACCGACTTTTGACTTTAAAAGCCACGTCCTAACATGCCTTCAGCGATGGTGTGACGAGAACGGGTCACAGGTCCACAAGTAGCCAGGCTGCTGGTAGGTAGACAGTCCCGGTGGACCCTGGAGTTGTGCTTCTGGTTTGGGGAACAGCATGTGCTGCTGCAGCGGAGTCTAGTGTCGGAGTGACAACTAAAGCTTGCTGCATCTGGCTTCTTTCAGACTGCGACAGTCCATCTTTGACTGTCTTCCTTCAAAGGAGGTCGCTCTGTAAACTGACCACATTTGACAACAGCGGTTCTCCAAACATTGCATATGTGACCGCGGTTCTCCAACTCATAGAACTCCCACCACCATCACTAATCAGAGTTACCTCAAGTCATGGCAGACAGGCAATGGATAAAAGTGGCAAGATTTCAGAGCTGGTCATCATCTTAGCTGTGCTAGATAGAGGATGCCTCTACAATAGGTACAATACTAGAACAACCCACTCA